TACCATATTTCCAGTTTCAAAAAGGACATCTGTGGGGGAGGGGAGCAGGGAAGGAGAGGGGAAGGGGTATCTGATTGTGGAGGAAGCAGCGATATGTCTGCCCCGCCTGACCCACTGTACCCCGTCCCCCAGACCATGCTGAAACCCCGCACTCCCCACCCACAGCCCCCTGCCCCGCCAGCTCCGCTGCCCATACAGCGCACTCGCACATTCCCCCTCTCTCACCTGCCTGCCGCTGGGGGCTCTGCACACAGAGCACACCTTCAGAAAACCTGGGTGTACGGTAATCCTACCCTGCATGGACCTCCAGCTCAAATAATTGCCCACCCCAGCATTAGAGGCAGCTGAGGCAGTGCTTCCAGAGGCAGGGAGCACTGGACCTGCAGATGCTGGGAGCAGCATTTCTAGTCCCTGCCTCCCAGGCTGTCTGTACTTGGCAGCAAGCTCCTGTCCCCCCCCCCGAGGCACTCCCTGCTGGCTTGGTTTCAATGCAGTCTGTCTTGCTGGTAAAGCGTCTTGCGGATCTTCAGGTCTCCGCTCCTCTGGCTCTTCCCCACGCCCTCACCTCTTGCTGGGCTTTGCCCTGCCTGCACATGCACACCCCACTGTAGCCTGTCCCTTGCTTACAGCCATGGTCTCTCTCTGCTGTGGGCACCTACCCTGCTTCTCATGCACTTGGCTTGGCCCCTCTCTCCAGATCTTCCTGGGGATGGCCTCAGCAGCTCCAGGTCTACAGGCCCTTCTTCAGGTGATTGCTCCTCAGTTGTGCTCAGGGTCCCTGCACCTGCTGGGAGGCGAAGAGCATCCACCAGCTGCGGGCCTCACTGGCACATTGATCATCGATACTGCTCGTGCAAAGACTTTGCTAAAGCATTGGCCAGAGTAGGCCTGGCCAGCGAATCCGACTGATGCCTGAACTCCTAGCACAAGCAAAACTTTGCATGTGGCCAGATGCTCGAGAGGGAGATGGCTGTACAAGGTGCAGAATAGTTCAGTACCCGGATAAGGCTGGAATGGGAACCCCTAGGTCCAGATGTGGAGCAAGCCCATGGTACAGGATGGCTCAAGATATTGGGGGAATGTAACATGTAGTGTATTTTGAACACTGTATAAAAGCAGGATTAGAAATAAAGGGAACTTTGTGTTGACCTAGAGGACCTGCATGGTGCCAATGCCTTGTCACGGGCATAAGCACATCGACACCTTATCTGACTGTGTTAAGGCCACGTCTTCTAGACATTAAACCTGGACATACCTTTGCCACCAAACTGAGCCTGTGGTCGTTCTTTAAGACAAGACTTGTGTTGGGATTTTTTGGTGATTTTTTGCCGGCACCAGTCTTTGAGACTTCGGACCCTGTCACACGTTCAGATTGAATCTGGATAGAAACCAGCTATAAAGTTGCTACACTTGTTCAAGCACTAACTTCATAGGTGTTTGGTTCTTTTAATAGTTTAATGGACATTTTTATGGTGTGATAATTACTTTGTACATGTGGCCGGTATAAATTTATTGCGCGGTTGACCAGTAAGCTGTGTAATATATGTAACACGTGGCAGGAGCCTTCAACATTGACGGCACATCAATAACACTCGACAAGCACAGCGATGATGACACAGGCTAGCCCCAGCGCCACCAGCAAAGGCAGAGCCCTGCTACGCCCCTGTGCTGGCATGTGCCTAAGTCAGCCCCCAAGGCCTTAGTCTATGGGGGAGAAAAAGAGATGGAAAAGTCAAAATCCCACAGATCTTCTAAGGGCCCTGCTAGACTTTACATATATTACCCAACTGAACCAAACAATAAATTTAGATCAGCTAATACACAAATTAAGACCGGCCACAAGAGCAAAGTAATTATCACACCGTTAAGTGGTGGATTGCACAATAAATTTACACCAGCCACACATGCAAAGTCTTTATCACGTGATAAAAATGACTCCCCAGCTATCAAGAGAACCAACCAGCTATGAAAATGTGTAACAACTCTATAGCTGGTTTCTATCCAGCTTTCATTTGAATGCGTAGCAGGGCCCTTCTAATGGACCTCCGCAGCCAAGAAGCTGGAGATGAGCCCCAGTGACTCAGTGCTCAGAGCGGGAAACATGGACATCACTCCCTACGAGACACAACGGGAAACCTGGTGCTACATCAAGATGCATGTTGTAGAGGAGGCAACAAACAGGGCCACTTGCTCCAGGGGATGAGGGCTGTTTCTAGGGGGAGGCCAGGAGAGCAGGCAACGTGCTGAATCAATTCCCAACAAAACATTCAAGCAGACAAGAGTTTCCTGCCAATCGGCAGTGCCTCCTGCTGCTGGAAAGGGTAGAATCACCATTTCTTACCTGTCCCTACTGAAGGGTCTTCACTGGGGAACAAGGAGCTTTCATCTGCCAACGAGTCCCAGGTCTCCTCTGAGGCGGGGGAATCTGCAGCAGGACAGAGGCCTGGGGTTAACTGTGAATAAAAACCAGCCCAAAGTCACTAGGAAAACCCATTGCCTGCACTCCCACATCAGACCATTCTTGGGCACACAGGGCTCATGGTGGGCAGAACAGAGGAGTAACTGGGACTCGGGCTTTGATCATAGCAGCAGAGCGTAGGGTAACCACAGAAACTGCCAGCGTCTGCTCCCACGAGACCTTGCATAGCCATCGAACTTGCTAAAAAGCCACTAGTTAGTTGAAGCTGAGCAAAGCCACCACAAGTTCTGTCCAAGTGAAAACACTGCCAAGGACAGCATGAAGACGACGTGCAAAGAGAGAAGCATGATGAGGAAAGCCTGGGTAGGTCCATGCAGAGGGTGTTTTAGAAAAATGCCCAATGCTGCAAACTCAAGGATGCATATAACCTGGAAATGGCCAGTAGCAGTAGCAGTAGCAGTGTATTTCTAGGTATGGGAGTGAGGTTGCCTCAATGCCCCAGGTCCCTCCATGTCCAAGGCCACATCCCGCTTCTCCATCAGGCCAAGGGCTCTGCAGTTGGACAGGGGTTTCTAGGGGTGTCATGGATTCACTCCAAAATTGAGCTGCCTTTGGGGTTTACTGTGGCCCCAGCAGACAGGCAAGTGAAGGGGTGTGATTGGTTCCTATCCCACATCAGATCCTGTCGCAAAAAATCATTAAACGATTTGTATAATAATGTGGCTTATTCCATCCTTCCTCACGCTATTCGTTGCACTAGTACCTGGCCAAGTCGCAACTTGAGATGCGATTAACTACCTAATCGCATCTTAAGTGTAGTGTGTGCTGGGGGCCTCATGTGGCATGTGGGGATGTTCTCCCAAATTAGGTTGACTCCTCTCTCTATAACTAGTGTGAAGCTAGGCTCAGTTTCTGTCGTGTTGTTAGCTGTGTTATGGTGTTTGATAGGCACAGACGTCCATAATCTCATGGTGTAACGGGAAGATAATCAAGCGAGGTGCCTAAGGCATTGTCTGTCTGGAATAGAGGAAATCAGCTCCTCTACAGAGAAGGCAACAGAGTCGTGGCTCTTTCACCAGACGGGGTGCAGGTGTCTCAGGGAGACCAGAACTTCCTGGAAGATTTTGGTGACTCGTGAGAGCGGTGGTGGGGTCTGGCTGGATGTTACTGAGGACCCAGCTGTGGAATATGCCCGGCCTTTCAGAACTGTCCACACGGGTCAGAGACCCCGGGAGCCAAGGCCGGCCAAATAAGCAAGGACATGGATGGGTTTGTCACAGCTGGGAAAACAGGACAAGCTGAAGTGTTGGGACATCAATCCCCATCAAGCAGGCACCAGCTTTTGGCTGAGAGATGCTGCTGGGGAGGGCAGAGCCACTGATCCTTACGTGCTCCTGGGGAAGGGGCTCGCTTTGTGAAGCAGCCGGTGGGGCTTTCATCAGCTGATGAGTCCCAGGTCCCCTCTGTGTTGGGGGACTCCGAGTCGGAGCAAAGGCCAGGGTTTAACTGAGCAGTAACCAGCCAGGAGTCACAGAGAAAATCCATTCTCCCTCAAGACCTGCACCAATCCATCTCTTCCTAGTGGCCGCTCCTGCTTGACCCGTTGCGGTGTCGCCAGTGTCAGGGATGCTCAGCCTGCACCTGTGGGGACAACGTGAGGGATTTCCCCTGCCCGGGGCTCGGAGCCGGCTGGGTCCCGCTCCTCTGTTACGGCCGAAGGCTGCACTGGGCAGCCAGCTCCATCTCGGTAGCCTGGGCCCACGCGCTCTGGCCTTGAGCGCACACGGCAGCGTCAGGGCTCCTGCCTGCAGGGGGGAGACGACAGGATTTTATCAAGTGATTGGGGGAGAGGGAGGGGCAGACCACGACCCACCACCTCTCAGCCAGCCCCACACCTGGCACTTTGTGGGGGTCCTGCCCTGCGCTGACACAGGGCCTGGGGGTGGGCTGCACCCTGGAGCGCCCTTCCAGTGCCCACAGCCCCACCTGGTCCCAGCTGATGGTGCCCCTTCCAGTGCCCCTCACTCCCACCCCACAGCCTCAGACCATAGAGCCGTGGTTCTCCAGAGCGCCCAGAACAGACGCAGCAGAAACGCAGAGTCGTGGTCCTCCAGGACCACCAGAAGAGATGGAGGGGACCATAGAGGCGCGGGCCTTCCGGAGACCAGAAGTGGAAGCAGCCCCAGGTGCACCTGTGACAATCGCATTGACTGTTCCAAGTCGCAACCTGGAAGTGCAAGTGGGGCCATGTCACTGCTGCAGACCTGCAGCCCTGGGGCGAGGGCAGGACACAGGCGAGGTGCTGTCCCCAAAGGTCTCCGTGCCCAGGGTGGCCTCCCCTGTCTGCTTGTCCCAGCAGGATGCGGCAGGCAGGGCCACAGAGTGGGGAGCCCAAGGAAACCAGGGGAGCACATGGGAAAAGGCCTCTGAAACAGGGTGAACTGTGCCTACATGTGGGAGGCATGAAACAGGCGCCTCCAAACGTGTCAAACCAAGTCCCGTTCCCTCTCTTCTTTCTGCAGCTGCCTCCATCAACAAGACGAACCAGCCCTCTGGCCAAAAAACAAAGACTCATTGAAAAAAAGTTACAAGGTTATTTTTTTTAAGTGCTGTCATACAGACAAAGTGACCACAGTTTTATACATTGGGAGAGACCAGCAGAGGACAGTTACAGAGGCGATGAATAAAAGAGCATGCGCAATGATGAGTTATTAACCTCTTGGAGTAACCCACTAGCACAGAGGCAGGCAAAATATGACCTGTGGGCTGCATCCGGCCTGCCAGGCCATTTTATCCAGCCCACAAGGCTCCTAAAACATTTAAAAAATTAATTTTAATCTGCTCCTGGCTGCCTGTCAAAGATGACAGGAGCCAGGGGCAGTAGGACCCAGGGGGAGCCAGCAGCAGAACTCAGCCCCATGCCCCCATCCAGCCCCTCTACCCCAAGCCCCAGCCAGAAGCATCTGCCTAGCAAAGGCCTCTGGTCTCAGACTGTCCCTGCACCAAGGGAAGTGCAGATGGGGCAAGGGGAGAGGAAGGAGAGGGCTGTGGGCAACTGCCCCAGTCCTCAGGGCCACCAGGTTTGGGTCTGTTTGAGCAGAGAACACATTATAGAGAATGCAGTGAAGGAAAGGAGGGCAGGGGGAGCAGCAGGCACCCAGTGGTGCACAGTTTTGAAGACAGGCTGAAAAGCAAAATCTGCTAAACTAGGCTCAGAGGGTGGCAAGAGCAGTGTCTTGCAGACACCTAATGGGCCTGAGTGTGACTGGGAGAGGGTTTGGGTGGCGGTGAGGAAAGGTGAGTTCAGGGTGGAGGGCAGGGAATGCTTCCCCAGCCATGAATGTCCTCCTTCTTGCAACTCAAGAGCCTCACATACCAGAAGCCTGGGAACAGGAGGGAGGATGAAGCTGGGAAGTGACAGTTCTTGAGTGTCATTTGAAGCCAGTTGTCTTGGAGAGGACACCCTATTTTGAAGGAACTCGTTCTCCCCTTGGGACCACTGTCTGCTTTTAGAAAATGATGGGGAATGCACAGGCTTCAGGGCTGATGCAAAGATAGTCTCCTCACAGGTTCTGCATGCATCTGGGCTGGCCTCAGGTGTTACCTCTTAGCCCCAGCCCACCAATCGAACCTCCCAGAGGCCAGCCCTTGGGTCCTTTGCGTGTTGCAGTGCCCTACAAGGGCCGAAGGCTGGGTGAACGTTTTCTGCAGCCCCCCAGCATGAGGCTGTTTGCCTGAATACAGCCATAGGTGGGTGCTAAATATGTAGACATGTGCAAGCCCTTCCTGCTTTGCTGCCAGAATTATGGATGCTCCCGGGAATGGATGCGCTGGTGTCGGGCCAGGTGGGAGGACTGGGTGAAGCTCCTCCCACACTCAGAGCACTGATAGGGCTTCTCCGCTGTGTGGATGCGCTGGTGCCGGGCCAGGTGGGAGGACTGGGTGAAGCCCTTCCCACACTCAGAGCACTGATAGGGCTTCTCCGCTGTGTGGATGCGCTGGTGCTGGGACAGGCTGTAGGGCTGGGTGAAGCTCTTTCCACACTCTGAACACCGATGTGGCTTTTCTGCTGTATGGGTAAGCTGGTGCCGGGCCAGGTGGGAGGCTTGGGTAAATCTCTTCCCACACTCCGAGCACTGATGTGGCCTCTCCACTCTGTGGATGCGCTGGTGCTGGGCCAGGCTGGAGGATTCGGTGAAGCTCTTCCCACACTCAGAGCATTGATGTGAGGGTTTCCGTATGTGGATGCGCTGGTGCTCAGCCAGGTGGCAGGAAAGGGTAAATCTTTCCCCACACACTAAACACTGATCTGCCTTCCCTGCCTGGCGGCGCTGGTGCCGAGCCAAGCTAGAGGACAGGATGAAGCTCTTCCCACACCCAGAGCACCGATATGGCTTCTCCCCTGTGTGGATGCGCTGGTGCCTGGCTAGGTGGCAGGAGTGGGTAAAACTTTTCCCACATACCAAACACTGATGTGCCTTTTCTCTGTGGAGGTCCTGGTGCCGGCCCAGGCTAGAGGACTGGGTGAAGCTCTTCCCACACTCAGAACACCGATGTGGTTTCTCCCCGGTGTGGACGCGCTGGTGCTGAACGAGGGTGGAGGACTGGGTGAAGCTCTTCCCACACACAGAGCACTGATGTCTCTTCTCCCCTGTGTGGATAAGCTGGTGTCGGGCCAAGCTGGAGGAGCGGCTGAAGGACTTCCCACATTCAGGGCACCCAAGTGTCTTCTCCCCTGTGTGGATGCGCTGGTGCTGGGCCAGCCTGGAGGATTGGGTGAAGCTCTTCCCACACTCAGGGCACTGATATAGATTCTCCCCTGTGTGCACAAGGTGGTGCCGTGCCAGGTGGGAAGGGCGGGTAAAGCTCTTCCCAGAATCAGAACAAGGCGTCTGCCCTGTGTGGATGAGCTGGTGTTTGGCCAGGATGGACGAGCGGATAAAGATGGCACCACACGGAGAGTACTGATGCGTCTTTTCTCTTGTGTGCAGGCACCTGTGCTGGGCCAGGTCAGAGGGCCGCCTGAAGCGCTTCCCATACTTCGTGCAGTGGTGTGGCTGCTCCTCCCTCTGCACACACCGGTGTCGGGACAGGTCTTGCCAGCAGATGAAGTTCTTCCTGCACTTGGTGCAACGATGTGTCTTCCTCCCCAAGTGGACGTGCCGGTGCTGAGCCAAGGAGAAGAACTGGGTGAAGGTCTTACCACATGTGATGCACTGGTACCGACGCTTCTCCCTGTGCACATGTTGGTGCTTGACCAGGTCCGGGCTGCACACAAAGCTCTTTGCACATTTGATGAAGCGGTGGGGAAGCTCTCCAGAATGGATCTTGCTGTGATCCAGGCTCTTCAGACCTCTCAACTCCACGAATTGTCCCCTGAACTCAGGGCTCTTTCTGGCTGTTGTCTCTTCTCCAATCTCACACCCCATTGGAGATGGTACCTGGTTCACTGCTATATTCTCCTGACCCTTTTGCCATTGGTCCTTCTCAGGTCTCAGGGAGCCCATCTCACCCAAAGTCCCCGGGGAAGTCTGTGGTGGCTCCACGTTTGCTGGCCCTTCCTCGGGACGCTGTTCCTCAGCTCTGCCCAGAAGGCAGGCACCTCCTGCATGGGGAAGAGAAACTCCAAATTAGTTCCTGACATTAGTCCAAGCACTGCTATTCCTCTTGCTGGGCTAGGCCTTCAAGCAGGACTGGACCTCAGCACTTGTGTTTCCATAAGAAAACAAGGTCTTCCTTCCAAAACCCCAAACGTTGGGTGAGGGAGGGCCAGATCCATGTGCCGTGCACATTTCCCTACTCAGTGGATTTCAGAGCCAGATTTCTGACCCAGCTGCCAGCCCAACCACCTTGATGGGAGAAACAGATGTGGGACACGTGGATTAGGACAGGACCCAAATGGCTTTGTGCTCCAACAGGCTGAGATTGAGACTAGAGGCATCTGCTTAAAGGAAGAATGAGGCTAATGGCCACTTTCTTCTACAGAACAGTGTCTCAACCTGTGGTACGCATACCCTTGGGGGTACGTGAGACACAGGCAGGGGGTACACGGGTACCCCAATGCTTTCTTTCTCTCTCACCCTCTTTTCCTGTCAAAACTATGGCAAAAAATTTGGTGCACCACACGTTGCGCAGCACTTTAAATTCCCCAGTAATAATTTGGCGCGTCACACTTTGCGCGGCACCGGGTCCAGCCCTCCTACCTTTGCCCAACATCACCTCTAGCCCAGGTGCACCCCTGGTGTAAATGGTGGTAACCCTACCTACATCAGATCAGATCAGACATCAGTCATATCACGGCCTTATATGCACAGCCCTGCTTCTGACATATGGCACACATTAGTCTGTAAGTATAAAATCCCCTGTAAAATGAGTGTTGGGGTACTTAGTAAAATTTTCAGAAGTTAGGGGGTACTTGCTATTTAAAAGGTTGAGAAACGCTGTTCTTCAGCACTGGTGAGTTCGGGGGAGATGATGCCGAGCCTCCACCTGACCGGACTGACACGTTGCAGAAGCCGAAGTGCATTGGTGAGACTGCTCCCCAGCGCTCACCCTTGCTCTCTGGCAGTCCTGAGAGCAGCATCACTCAGGGTACAAGGCTAAACAGCCTCACAGTGGATTTCTGGGGCTTGTCGGCAGTCATAGGTCTGTGGGGAGCAGTGCCTCCCATTGAACCAGCTGCTTCTGCAGCACACGAGCACTGTTTTTATTTGCTAGAAAAAGCCAACATGTTTCATTCCTCATCCCTCCAAGAAATGTTCTGGGAGGGGAGGATTTATAGCTGTTCTCTCTTCTGGAAGGAGCGGGGCTGTGTTTCCTAGCTGCTTCCAGGGAGAGGTCCAACGCAGGGAACGAGCCCATGGACAAGTCCCAGGTGGCCTCCATGTCCCAGGAATCTGCACTGGGACGGCCTGCTCGGTGTCAGCACCCGGTGGGGTGGGTGACTGCCCTCTTTCTACTGCCAGCTCGGTGTCAGCGTCTGGGGGGGGCGGGGGGTGTCTGCCCTCTTTCCTAGTGATCCTTAGAAATAATGGATAGACTAATGATTAGAAATAATCAGAGCGATTGTAATCTTTAGAAAAAGGCTATCTGAAATGTCTGGGAAGCGTACAGTATGTGCTCTGCCTATCAGGGCTTTGTGGTTGGTGCGTCCCTCCGTTGTGTTATGGTGCTGTCGCTCTTCCAGCCGAGTTGTACAGAAGCTATGAACTTATGCAAATGCCAGTGCAGAGCAATGTTTGCATCTAGCCTGTTTCTACTTGAGGTCCCACCTTTTCATACATTCTGATCAAGCAACTCGTACTATAAATCAGCTGACTTCCTGCCCCTGGGCAGGGGCGCTGGACCGGAAGATCTCACAAGGTCTCTTCCAGCCCCGATGTCTATGCACGCTATGAAACAAGCATTCACAAAGTGCACAAACACAAGCAAACAAAGCATGCAAACACACAAGCACGAGACCCCAGAAAACAAATACACAAAACACAATCACACAAACACAACGACGCAAATATAAAAATGCAACGAGAAATACTTGCAGCGTGAAGGTGCTGTTGAAAAGACCGACTAGTGCTTGATCAGAATGTATGAGACACAGACGCAAAAACACAAGTCACACACAAGCAAAACCGTAAGCAAACACAGAAAAATACAACACAACACTTCATAAAAATACCGGTGACTCCGAAAGTCAAAACCTGACTATCACCAATCCCAAACATTTAGCATTTGACCACTATACATTTCAAATTTTCAATTACAAAAATAAGTTGGACTCAGACTCGATCTATTGAGGTCCCTTCCAACCCTAACATCTATGAAGAGTCTTTGTTGCTCAAGTTACAATATTATAACTATCCCATGCTGGTTGTGACTAAGCTATTAAGTTATGTATATCTCAATGTCGAACAATATTTGGATTTAAAGAAATGTTAATAATCTGCATGTCAAATACTGCTTATGCTATTTTGTGAGTGCTTCCTTGGGTGCCTGGCACAAACTCTGGGGTCTCTTGCCTGCCCAGTGTCAGCGTCTGGTGGGTGGGGGTCTGCCCTCTTTCATAGCAATCATTAGAAATAATTGTTTGAATAATTAGTAGAGTAGAAATAATGAGAGTAATCAGTACAAATAATCTTTCAGAAATGTCTGTGAAGCACGCAGTGTGTGCAACACTTCCAGGCCGGCATCTGTGCACCTGTGTGCTGGCTCCCTCCACTGGATGTCTGCCTTGCAGGGGTGCCTGCCCCAAGCTGCCCAAATGGGGTTGGGGTCCCTTGTCTGCTGAATGTCCTGCAGCAGGGGGGGTTGGTGGCCTCAATCAATGTAGCTGCTAGTTGTTCAACTGTGCATAGTTCTCTGCTTGGATTTCTACAAATGTAACCGTGCCGCTCGTGTGTTTACTAACGAACAAAATAAAAGGGTGAAAAAAATGAAAGGCTCTATCTATAAAAGAGAATGGATGATTTTCCTCCTGTCTTTTGTATCCTCATGTGAAACAGCAGAGAAGGGCGAACCCCAGGGAATCCCCAAGCTGAGCAGCGACAGCATGGCAGATGGCAGGGGTGGGGGGCAGAGGTGGATTACGATTCCTTGGGACCCTGGGATCCCCATCCCACCGTGCGACCCACCCACACCATGGATCCCAACCCCCAGGTGCCTCCCCCCACCTGGCAACCCCCACACTGCCCAGCCTGCACACAGCAGGGGAGGCGGGCAGCAGTACAGGACAGCAGGATGAGCGGGGGCCAAAAAGAAAATTAGGAGCAGCAATCCAAAGTGGCATCTAGTGGACAAAGGCCTGAACTACAAAAGCAGCGTAACACCTACTGATGGAAAAAGAGGGTTGTTACACGTCTTTGAGTGTCTTTGTGTTTGCATGCAACGAATCCATAGACGCAACACTTTAATTCACGGCGAGCCAAACTAAACTACATCCGAGCAGTTTTACTTTAACATGCCAAAAAGAGTTTTAAAACTTTGGGAAATCCCGCTCGTGCAAACAGACGTGCAGTTGCAGTGCATGAAAGGGCAAATATCGTGGCATGTACATGTATCCCTTGGCATTAACCTGCACATGGACTCTGTGCTGGGTCTCAGGGTTTGTGACACTCAAGGCCCAGAGATAAAACAGCAAAGGTAAGACTCTGGTGCAAACTCTGGGGTATTCATTCCCCCCCTCCTGCCCCCTGCAAACATGAAAGCGTGTTAATCTCAACTTCCCTAACACCTGTAATTAGGGAGAGAAGAAAGGAAGAGTTGCTTGTCTCCACAGCTTTGAATTTCAGGGGGTGGGAAGAACACCTGCCTGGACACATTATAGCATAAGCTCTTTGAGGTTAGCAACCTGGAACGGCAGCACAGGAGCGGTCAGCAGCTTCTAAGCCCCCTGTCACTCTGGGTATCGAGAATTTCTGAAGGGAACTAGGTAGAGGGGATAGACACAACTCACCTGGTGACAGGTCCTCTGACCTGGAGATTTCCCCATGGTCCTCATCCTCACAGACCCAGAGCTCCAACTCTCCTTGCTGGACGCGGCAGATTAAGTTAGGTGTGGGACCTCCATATCCTGTTTGGGGCAGTGGTTAAAGTGCGTTTGTGATTTGGCAGTCAAAGAAGAATAACTGATGGGGATTGGAAATGGATCCAATAAACTCAAGGTTTCTACTAGGGCAGGCGTGGGCAAAACGGTGGATCTGGCTGTTGGCTGGACTCTATTTTCCAGCAGTCCCTGCCCCGGCTGGTCTTCATGGAGACCCTGGGAGCAGTGGGGCCGTGACAAGTGGGGTTGCAGAGCTGGGGCTCTACCCTGGTCCCACACGGTCACAGCCCTGCACTCGCAGGGTCTCCATGAAGGCCAGCCGGGAGCGACGCAGGCAGGGTGTGTGGCTGGATGGGGAGCTGCTCTGGGGCTGGGGCCAGGATCGTGTGTTGGTGACAGCGCAGGGCCAGAGCCGGGGCAGAGCCAGGATCCGCTGCCTGCACACCCCTGCCTGCACTCATCACAGGGCCGTGCAGGCAGCGGATCACAGTTCTGCCCCAACCCCAGCACCCCGAGATCCCGGGATCTCCTCGGCCCTACCCGCCCATCTCACTCCTGGCTGTGGCACCATCCCGGCAGCCTGACCACGTCCCCTGCTCATGCAGGTCCTGCACCCGGCAGCGGGTGCAGGGTGGATGGGACAGGATGCCTGGGAAGTGGGGCTGGGTCCAGTGGTGGCAGCCAGAAGGAGCTGCCACCACAGGGGCTGCTGGGAAATGGAGACTCTCGCGGGCCTGATCCAGCCCATGGGCCAGACTTTGCCCCCACCCCTTGTAGTAGGGCCTCGAAGGGAAAGGGAGGGTGGATATTTGGGACGAAAGAGAAGGCACTGCAGGGAGAAGCCTTCAATAGATGATGGGTCTTGTCACCCAGGTGGTGGAGGGAGAGTTGGTCACAGGAAACATAGCACCCACCTCTCTGAAGTATAAAAAGGGTACAAAAGTCATGACGGACAGGGGTGGAGAGAGTGATGTGTGATGTAGTAGAAAGCAGAAAGAAACAGCTTTTACTGTTTTCAAGGTACCAAAATTAAGAGACATCAGACACATTTATGGATGGATAACACTTATCTTAGTGTAATTCCAGGCGAAGGAGTGGAAATGAGTTTATTCTCAGTGAAGGTTTAAAGCCAGGACTTGTGGGAGTGAAAAGAACCCATGACAAATGTCTGACAATAGTTCTTTTTCCTGGGAGAGAGGGTAATTTGTCATCAGCAGAGCACAGGAAAGGATGATTTTATAAGAACTATAGATCCGACTAAAGCAATCCAATGGGAGGATGATCTTTGGGCAGAGATGCTTGCACAAGTTGGCAGATACTGAAGGGTTTAAGATAAAGTTCATGGGAGTCATGGATACGGAGAAAAGAAGAAAAAAAGGAGACACATTTCCCAGCATGTGCAATCCCATAATGTGGAAATGATCTGCAGAGTTTCCCAAAACTAGAATCGCATCCAAAAGAGCGGGCCCTCCAAGACAAATACATTGCACAGTGACTAGAAAGAGAGATATAACCACAGTGAAAGTGCGGTATCTTGTGAGAGCCTCGTGGCCCAAAGCAGCGTACTACTTGGTGACTTTGGGCCACTCCCAGAGATATGAGAGAGAGAGAACTGAGACATGAAATAGCAGAAATTAGTTTATAAGCAGGGTTATCTCTGTTTAGAAATGACATATTCTCTGATTTAAAACACCCGAATTCCATGTTTTTCCATGATTAAAATGAAATGCTATTTTATATATATAATAGATAGATATGCCCCTATCTATCTATCTATCTATCTATCTATCTATCTATCTATCTATCTATCACAATATTTTACTGATATAATTACAGTTTTTAAACAGTCTGGAAGCCTACCAGTGCCACAATCATTATAATAAATGCATTCTGAATACCTATATATTTTGGCATTTGATTTTGGTTTTTTTATCATGGAAACTCAGAGCTCCCACTGCTTCCCTCGCTCACCAGGATGCGGGTCCAGCTGCAGATGTTCCTCCCACCATTGCTTTGTGGCATTGAACAGCCCTGATATGTCTTTGCCCTGAGTCTTCACTCCCAAGCCACAGCCCCCCCGTCCCCACCTCCAGGGAGCTGCTCCCACCACCCTGCCTGGCTGTATTGTAGAAACACTCCTGGGAAGATGTCTGCCTCCCTCGGTGATGGGGCTGATTCCCCTGAATGAGTCAAACCTCAGGACCGATAATGGTGATGGGGGACGGGGGAAGCCAAACCAATCCAATCCCCAACAAAGCCCTGGCTTGTCATATGCACCCCTTGGCTAATCCCCATCCTCTCAGCCCTGTCCATCACTCTGCCACAGAGGGAGCCGGGCTCAGAGGTGACGACTGTGAAACTCAAGCTGAGCTGGGCCTGCTCACAAAAGTGAAAATGCAAAATACTGATGACAACTGCATAGTGCAAGAAGATAGCAGTCTGCAGCTGGACTTTCTCGATAATGAGGTATCACTTCCAGTGCATCTTACCTATATTTATGCTGATTTTAAGCAAGCTCCTATTTGTCTGGTATGTAACTGGGTGAAATGGCTATCCTTGATTAATTAGTACAGTAAATATTTCTTTGCAATTAACTCATGCTTATGTGTAGGAAGAGCCATTCTCCACATGGGCGTTGTGTTTTTCTTGAGTGTTAATCATTTCTTGATATGTTCCAACTCAGTAGAAATGGATTACCTCCTGTTACTGAAAAAGGTAATTCAATCCAAATCAGGACTGTCTGATAGCCAATAATGAACAGTTTGATTAACAGGATTTTCCCATTAATCACTGCTTGGGATTCTCTCTTGATTGAAACAACTACAAGAATGCTTTGAACTCGCTGGGTATAAAAGAGAAGCAAAACAGCTAACAGGACGCACTTCAAGAATGAGAAATCATTTTGACAAGAACTCCTACCTCGCCGGGCGGATCTGCTGGTGAACGAATCCACGCCTTGAGAAGCTGACAAGACTGAGTCGCCTCTTCGCCTGCATTGGTGAGATACGATCTCTTTTACAGCTAAATATACTGGACTGTGCTCTGCTTTAGGCTCACTTAACCATGAATACTTGTAGTAAGTCAAGCCTTTCTGTCATTCATCGAATGAGTTGTTGTGTCAGTCCTTTATACACTAGTCCTGAATCCCATTTCATGACTTAAGAGGAGGCACAATGGCAGGGAAGTGTGGTAGGGCCCGTCAATCGGGCTGGGTGGACAGGGGCTGGCATTGGCAGGCTCCCTGGGCAAGGCAGGAGGCAGCACGCACTTGGCTCCGAGAGCCAGCAAGGAACGGGGTGCCAAGCCCTCGTGCCCCTGGCCGCTGGGGGGCACGGCGGTGGCGGTGGGAGCGCGGCGGCAGTAAGCGGTGAGCTCCCACAGACACCGCTGGCAGCATTGGCAGTGGGAGTGGCAAGCACCTTTTTGTAGAGGGTGCACCGCCACGCTCAGGGGGTGCACGTGCACCCGCACGCACCCCCTACGCGTTGCCAGTGCCCTTGTGGCAGCCAGCACCACATGGCACACAGTGTCCCAGCCCAGTGGGGCAGCCTCCCTGGCCCCAGCATAAGCCAAGGGTTGGGGGTGGGCACGGGCCAGAGCTAAGTGCCCTGTGCTCTCTCTGTGCCCCCCAAAAGCCAGAGAGATGCAAGGGGCCAAGAGGTGCCATGCACTGCCTGCCATCTTCCTGCTGCTCACTTCAACCCTGCTGGCTCCGGGGCCAGCGGCAGCAGCTGGGAGCTGCAGGCACCGGGCACAGAGCACTCTTCGACTTTTTGCAGGGGATTGGGTGGAGCAGCAACCTGGCACCTGCCATGGCTCCCATTACAGGACAGGGTGTTCGCTTATAAGAGAATGCCTGAGCAACGTAGTAATGTCAACCAACAGTCTTCTAAATAATAAAAAGCTTGCTGCAAATGCACTTTGGGACGCATGGAAGGAAGCTGCACGTATAGATGCTGAGGTAGGATTAGGTGTCACATACAGAAAACCAGGTAGCAAATCTCATGGAGGACTATATAGGTTTCCTGAGGTACTGAAGGAAAGAGAAGGCTTCAAGAAGTGGCAAAGCTGGATTTGGACCAAGTTGTATGTGTCATATTGAATGTAATAGTTTGAATGCCTGTTAGCCAGTTTAAACAAACGGCAAGGTTCATCTTCTTATCTAGGTTCGTTGCTTGTTTTACCTGGCCTTACAACGAACGAGCTTAAAGTCTTGGCTCCTCCATCTTATCTCTAGAGACCTTTAACAAGTTATCGTAAGGACCGGAAAAACGACCCTTCAGCAAACATTGCGAGAGATCAAAACCCTAGGAGCCTTTTGAAAAGGGGCTGTAAAAGAAAGGTCACCGCAGCGGTATGGAAAATCTTCCAAAGCAAAATGTAAGATAAACTAAATAGTCAGCGGACAAATTCCATTGCGGAAGACAAATTGACCACCTAGCAAAAAACCTGTTGAGTAAGATCCGAGCCCAAATTTGGGAGTAGTGACAGGTTTGGGTAGGACGGGCCCAAGACGGCAACTCACCCAATAAAAACTGTAACCTACAGTCCCAATTTGGAGGTAGCCTCACTTGCAGAACAACGAAGGAAGAATCGTAAGTGTAGGCCGGATCAGACTGATCACCCGAACCACCCTCTCCGTGAACACGAATCTCTTAGTTCACGCTGAAGCCGTGGAGCGCCCGAGTGGGACTGAAGGAAGGGGACTTATTCCTATCACTGCTGAGGCCAACCCATTGAATCGTACTACTGAGGCCAGCCCATTAAATTGTACTACTGAGGAATGAAACCATATTTAGGTGTTTGGCTTCTTAGAATTCTAGGATTGTAACTATAATATAGTAATAACTTTTCTGGTTCAAATTATAGAGTTAGTTGTAATTGTAATTGTTTTAAAGAAGTGCATTTAGAGTATTGTTCCTTATATATACAGTTATTGTGTTTTTGATGTTTATGGTATTTCTTAAAATAAAATTGTGTTGTATAAATTAAGTGTGAAATCATTGTGAAATCATGCAATTAGCTGAAAATTTCCCCAGCCAGTGCATCAAACGAATCAGTAAGTTGTGTGGGATCTTCTCTATTCCATAACCCGCTAGAGACAGTATGCAGAAAAGACAAGAGCCGTATAAAAGGGGAGCAGTCAGAGAAGCAGCACTGAATTCCTTGCATGAGAGACTGAACCATAGAGTGAATGCGCGCACCATTTATAAGCTGGCTAAAATCCACCATGTATAAACGAATGACTTGGATTCTGGACCCGTTGCTGCTAGTGCTAGAAAAGAGGATTAACACATGGTCTCGAACAGGTCCTTCATACCTGAAAGGCATGTTATGAGATAGTATTGAAAGGAGAATTACCCAAAAGACATTTGCATCTGTAGACACTATACATTTAAGTTGGACTTCCAGAGGAGTGTGCAGAGCATATTAGGAGAGAAGTAGTTAATTGAAAAAAACAGGCAAATAGGAGAGTTGTATAACCAGGTTCTGAAATGTTAGGAGACTAATGGTATGGGAATTATGGTATTTCGTCTAGGAAACCTAACAGGGTAAGGGACTGGGGTGAATGGTGACTAATATATCACATCTCTTCTTCAAAGAGAAAGGCAGTAAATACCAATGTCCCAATGACAAGAGAACAGTGACTTAGCCACTCAGTGAAAAATGTAAGGAAAAAGTTTTTGCGGCTCAAATCGAGATGACCACTAAAATGAGCGATAACCAGGATCTGTTTAGACAAGTACAAAAAAACCCCAAACTTCAGCCATTTCCCATAAAATGACAGAAAAGAATCAAAAGCTCTATATGGTCTTGGTTGACCTAGAAAAAGCATTTGAGCACTTCCCCAAGAAAGTCCTTTGGGGAAATGGAGGGAACAAGAAAGCACCAGAAAAGCAAATTGACCTAGTAAAAGGTAAGTAACTCAAGGCTCCACGCAAGCCGGAACAAGTCCCTGTGTTAGAGATCTTCTGGAAATGAAAGCTAGTTTTCACCAGACCCTGCCCCAGCCCACTTCTTTTCAGCACAGTGAAGGGTGGCTGATACGTAGAGGGATTTTAGGAAAACACTTGGGAACGTCAGAGTGAGCTTGAGAGCACAGGCCTCCAGGTAAATAAAGCAAAGCCCTAGTCTGTAGTCTATGGAAATGAAGACGGTAGGAAGGAACGTGGACAGAGGCTTCAACTGACTCCTGGATTTTATCACCTGTACCTATGTCACCAGAGGAGCTGAGGAAATGAATATCCCTTGCCCCATAGCAGTAGAGGCTGATGAGACTTCCATTACCTTCTGCTGGGTCATAACCAAAGGAGGAGAAAGGAGATTTGAACTGAGCATGCTGATTGTTCAATGTGTTTGGATAGGACACACTGCGCAAGAGAGGGGAAAACAGAGCAATTCCCCAAGGAATAGCTGATTTTTATGCACAATGAATTGGAGATTATATGACCACGCACGGGGAGATCCTGTTGACAAGGAACTGCTGAAGACAGAAGCACCAGGAGCTGCAAGGACGGGGAAGACTTGCGTGAAGGCGGCTGGATCAAATGAAGGAGAATGTGTCAACAGGAAACGCGAGAGAGGCCTGATCACTGACAGAGCAGTGGGGAGGAAGTGGATTTAAACCACCAGCCAAAAGGTCATGAGGATGAGACTGCTGAAAACTAGGAAGGCAACAAAACCTTGGAGCTCGCATGGCTCCAGGGGGAAGCAAGAAACAGAGCTTTACCCAGGGAAACGAGGGCATGGAAATTCCTCAGCATCTGGTCCCGGTAAAGCACCTTGTCTTCATCTCCCAGCAGCTCCCACTCCTTCCGGGTGAAGTACACAGCCACGGCCTCAAAGACCTCCCCGAGCTGCAGTCACAAGTGTTACACTCATTAGTATCTCCTGGTCCATCTTTCTTCTGCCCCCACAGCCTTATCTGGTACTACAACTAGTTGCAAGCTTAGGGGTACAAAATTCCCCACGTGATGTGGGTGCAATGTGTCTGCCTTAATTCATGTTCTATTTGCTCAGTCCTTCGAGACAGCCGAGGCAGCACTTTTAGTGGTAGAGAGCCCTGGCTCCGTGGTCTCTTCCAGTACTAGCACCCCTGGCTATCCGCACTAGGGAGCGAGCTCCTGATAATGTCACCGTGTTTGCAGCCTCCTACACCAGAGGCTTGTCATTCCTCCGGTCTCTCCGCTCCCCAGATTCTTTACAGCACCTCTGACTCGTCCTGGGCTCTGCCCCAGCTCTGCACCCACACCCAACTGGAGCTGGTGCCCTGCTCACCTCCGTGCTCTCCCCCTGCTTCGGAGGCCTGCCCTGCCTCTTCTGCACTTGGCCCAGATCAGGTGTCAGGGAGCCCCTCTCTCCCAGTCTCCCTGGGGAAGTCCTCTGCAGCTCCCAGTTTACAGGCTCTTCCTCAGGAGGCTGCTGATCAGCTCTGTCCAGGGTCCCTGCACCTGTTGGGTGGGGAAGAAAATCCATAGGTTAGTCCTGGTGTTGCTGGCACGGGGAAAGCCCCGCTATTCTCCTGTATTGGCCTGCGATGAAGGCAGCCAGTAGATCCAGTGTGCAGAAGAGGGGAAGAGAAGGAAGATTCAAAATCCCACAGCTCTTGCTAATAGACCTCCATAGGCACAAAGCTAGAGATGAGCCCCAATAACTCTGTCCCAGGTCAGGGCGGCGATCACCGTGCCATGTTAGAGCCTGCAGGGACATCGCTCCCTGGGAAAAAGCTTGAGGGATGTTGGTGTTGTGTTGGAATTCACATTTCAAGGGGAGGGGGAAAGGCCAGTCTTTTCCAGGGTGCACAGGAGGCATCCAGGGACACTGGGAGAACAGGAAAAGTCAATCTGTTGGAGCCCTGACCCCATCAAAATGTCCCAGCGGAGAGATTTCTCCACAAATGGATTGTGCCTCCTGCTGCTGGAAAAACCAGAACCCGAAAGAGGAGCCCTCTACCTGCTCCCGGGGAAGAGCCTTTTTGGGGCACCAGGCTGTGCAACTTCCATCTGCTGACAACTCCCTGGTCTCTTCTGTTTTGGGGGAATCTGCAGCCTGAGATTAGCTGTACGTGAACCAGCCGGATGTCACTGGGGAATTTCATTTCTCCGACACCTGCACCAACCCCTTATTGGGCACCGAGGGCTCACGGGGGCAAGAGAAAGGGGTGAGTGCATCTTTCTGCTGGGTGCTGCACATAGGCAGTGAGAAAGATCAGGTGCCCTCAGCCTGGTGCTGCCCAGGAACAGAGATCAGAGCCCTGTCCCACCCCAGCCACGTGGTTACAAATATTGCAGCCCTGTCATGGGCAGGGGCAGACAGATTTCAGCCTCTCCACCTGAGCGCAGAACAGCCACTCAGGTACCCAGACCCACACCTGGGCCTGCATCTGAAACCTCACCTGACTCCTGGTGGGGCGGGGGCTCGTCCTCTTTGGGGACAAGAGCTGGCTTGTCCCGAGTCCCTGGAGTTTCCCTCTGTCCTGCCTCCTCCAGAAGATGCTCCAGGCAGGAATCAACAAGTCCCTGAAAGTCCCCAGTGGGCCGCATCGTGCCTGAGGACACCTCCTCGACGTTTACACTCACTGTGACCTGGAGCCAAGATAAATATTTTACTGGGGAGCTGGGACCTGAGAGAGATGGGGATGGGAAGGAACATCTCCCGCCACATGGAGGTGTGGACAGACGCATGGATGACATGGGTGAAATAAATGCTCTCACCTGGAGCCTCTCGTTCTCTGCCTGCCCCAAGTGAAACCCTTCAGCTAGGGCCACCGCTTCAGCGCAGGTCTCCACACCATGTCCCCACTGCCAGCTCTGCATCTCCCGGGGCAGGATGGCCAGGAACTGCTCCAGCACCACCAGCTCCAGGATCTGCTCCTTGCTGCGGCGCTGGGGCTCCAGCCAGCGCTGGCACAGCTCCCGCAGGCGGCTGCACACCCCCCGCGGCCCCTCGCCCTCCTGGTAGCGGAGGCTCCGGAAGTGCTGGCGCCAGGTCTCTGGGGTGGGGAGGACATCCCCTGGTGCCAGCTGTGTGGCCCCAGGTGGGGGCTGCACAGGCTGCATCGCCTCCTCCCCCTGGATCTCCTGGCACTGAACTGGCTCCTCCTGCAATTGCTGTTTGACTTGCTGTGGTGCTGACCATCTCGGGGACAGCTCCCCAGCCCCAGCCTGGAGGACACGATGGACTTGTCCTGTCCCCTCAGCTCCTGCCTGGAGACCTGCTGTGTCCCGCTCCTCCATCTTCACCTCACCCTGCACCAGCACCGCAGAAGGAAGGCCCACAGCGGCCACGGGCTCCAACGCAGCAGCCATGGTCTCCGCCGGGGGAAGCCTCACCCTACCCTGGGCTCTTGCACTCTTGCACGGCGCCTGTTAGCAGCCTCCAGGCTCTTGAGCCGTCTGCAGCAAAAAAGACAGCATAGATTTTGTTTTTAAGTTTTGCGTTCCAGGTCAAATTAGCCAAATCCGTTCTGAGACCTATCAAATGAGCAGAACTCAATCATTCGGATCCACGTGGAGCTACCATCAGCAAGCATCCTGCCTCCCAGACTCATCAGCCTGGGGTTTCAGATACTTCCAAAGCCATGGCAGGCATCCTAGTTGTAGGCCCAAGCCCCAGGGCGGATAAAAATCAATGATTTGAAAAAAAAAGGGAAAAAATGGATTTTATTTAAATCAGATTTTTTTGATGTAATCCATTTTTAAGATTTAAAAAAACAAACAGAAAACCCCATATATAAAGATAGTCTTAATTTAAGATCTGTGACAGCTCAAAGATATCATCCTGCCTTGCAGCAGGGCTTGCAGCCGCCTGCTGGGAGCAGCCGGGCTTCGTGGCTGGCAGCAGCTGCCCAGAGCCCGGCTGGCGGTGGCATGCCGAGCAAAATGCCCTCGCGTGCCGTGCTCGGCACACGTGCCGGGGGTTGCCGACCCCTGGTCTAGAAGATCCCACGAAGCTTCCTTTCACTTCTCAAACTGCGGATTTGCGTCTCCAGAGATCACAGCCCTGTTCCCAGCCGTACATGGAGATGAGAGATAACAGACCCGACTACCTACTCATCAGCCCTCTCTCGTCCCTCCGCAAGTCGGCGTGCACCTTACCTCTCTCTAAAAGCGCGACGCGTCGAGAGGTGAAACGAGTCCCGGATCTCAAACCACAAGAATGCACTTTTTTTTTGCAGAAAGCAATGCTCAAATCCAGGCTTCCCGGCTGGCGATAGATTTGATTGCAGTCAAACCCTGCAAGCCCAGCGCATCCGGGGCTCGGATGGCCACGTAACCAAGGGGCCAAAGGAGCACTGGGGTGGAGGGGGAATCCCCTGTCTCCATAAGACAGGTGGGTGCAGCCGGGATCCCGTCGGGGATCAGGGGCTCTTCCTCTCCGATCGCCCGGGCCGGGGTCGCACGCGATGGGGAACCCTGACACTGACAGTCACAGGGACAAGGACAAGGACAAGGACCGTCCCCGCTTCCCGGCACGGGCGGGCTGGCTCCGCGGTGCGTGCAGACGGGGCCGGGCCCGGGCGCTGCCGGAAGGGAATCGCCCTGCCCCTGCGGATCAGCGCCCGCCCGGCGCGGCTCGGCTC